GTTGTTGGACAGCGCCGAGGGAGCTTGGATAAGCCCTTGCAGTAAGAGATAAACTGTTCGGACTCGGAGCTTCCAGTTCGTTCATGTCGAATTTTTCTCACGCAGCCCAGCCCTCATGCCCAACACCACAAACTCAAATCTCTGACAAGAAAATCCTGCTGGTTTATCGGACTAGTCGGTGATGTGCCGCTAATAAGCCATCTTGGGAGGCTCAGACTCGCACTTGCCAAGACTCTGAAGTAATGGGGACAATGAGGTGGTTGAGAAATCTTGCATAACATAGAAAACGTCTACGTATCGCTATCATGCTTGTCCTCATCATCTGAGGTATTTTGGGGGCCAGGTCTTGCATTCGCGGCTTTACCTGTCCGGCCCTCAGGACAAAACCGTACCCGACGCGATAGCTGGATTGATCAGAACTCCCAGGTTCTGAATCTGTATAGCAAGAAGGTTTCAGGCGCTTTTTGCCAGCGGCGGTGTGAATGCAAGTGTTGTGATCTGCTGGGCCTACAGCCCCTACAGTCTTTCTTGGATGTCTGTCATTTGTTCAGGACCTCCCCTACAAAGCTGTGGAGTGTTTCTTAGAAGTGGAGAATTGCATTGCGAATTCTTTCGTTGAAGCAGAGGGGAGGAGAGACATCTTGAGCAAACTGAGGACTGCCATTTTAGTGGCAGCCTTTCGGCAGGTTGAGATTAATGTATTATAGTAGTTTCCATTTTCTTGTCCACTTTCCCTATATAATCCCAATATACTATAGTAGTTTCCACTTTGTCATCCCTAGTGGAGTTTGGGTTGAGCTGGCGGTGCCTCTGCACATGCACAGCCTGAACATTGGTCATCCCATGGGCCTTTGGGTCCACGCTGTGGTCAGGGACATGGTCCAGGCTGATTTATTTACAACAGCATTTTGGAGGGCCCACATTTCGACTGGTTCTGTACTTATTGTAATTGGATTACGGAGTGATTACGGTGTTCTTGAGTCTCTTTCTGGTTTGTTTGCAATCTGGGGTGCTAGGAGAGAATTTGGTTTACTATGGGTTTCGGCTGCACGAGTCGCTGCCTTGGGACTTAGAGTGTTAGGGTATTGAGGAGGTATAGGGAAAACCGAAAAGGAAATGGAAGCTGTCTTTTATGGTTTTGGGTTCAGGGTTTAGACGTGCGTGTTCGTCAGGTACGGAGGTCAGAACCTTGAGTACAAGGCGGGCGTCTTGTCGATCGGATACTGTCACTGTAGAACCACCGCACGAAGCCCCAAAGCTAGCAATTCGGAAGCCACAAATTTGGAGAATTCGAGCTTCCAGGATGTCACTTTGGCTGCAAGGTTTTTTCAACAGGCTTCAACTTAGCATGATGATCCTGCAATTGCATTTGACACATCAGACAGCTAAGCGCCTCAAGCAAAGCGTGCATCAACCACGTGAACGGGGTGTGCAGAATGCGGTTACTGCTGAGAGTTACAAGATCTGCAAGCCCTAAGCCACAGGCCAGAAATGTGCTGTTTCATGTGAGCCATTGTCTAAACTCCTAGTATCCCCATTAATATCCCAATAGTACTCCACTATTTAATCCCCTATATAACCCCCGTTAAGGAGTTCAGAATGTGCTGTTCAAGCCTCTAGTTGTAGGCCCCACATTGTATCTCTGACCTGACCATTCCCGCGCAAAGAATCGGGTTGTTGAGGTTCTGTGATCCGGCAGATTAGACCTGGAGGGGCAGCCTGATCGAATTGCTTGTGAGGCCCTGTGTGAGACCGAGTGCTTCGACTGTTTACGTGGTTGCTGGATGCAAGGCGCTGCCTGCATGCGAGTTGATCTGAAGGCTCTTCAGGGAAATTCTACAAGGTTCGTGCAGCGATTTCGGGAAATCTTTGGGAGAATTTCTTTTCCATAGTGGGAACAGGAATCGTGATCAGCCACAATATGCCGGTTTCCAGTTTTCCAGTTTGGGAGAGGGTGTATGGAGATTGGGAGCATGGTGCTTTGCTCGGAATAAGGACCTCAAAGAGCTGAATGGCAGGTTAGTCAGGTTTGCAGCGACTGACATACGCATTCTCTTCTTTCTTGTCTGTTTTGGCTCATACCACCTGAGAATCCAAACTAGACATTTTTCAACAAGCTGCCAAAACCTTCAAATTTGAGCCCCAACCCTCTGCAGAGCAGCAATGCCCTGCGCACCACCGCTGCCAAACTACAGGAGTCATGAGCTAGCAGCCTGTATCCCAGATCCGAAATCTGAAGCTTCAGCATTTGGGACTTTTGTCGCTGGATATGTTAACTTTGTGGTTTTTCATTACGTACGAATTACCATACCATCATGCAGGTAATCGCGATGACTGTCGTTGCTCTTATTTGCTGGTGCGTGTCCCGAAGTCCTGATCTCCGGAGATCCCCCACGGCCAGGCCCAGACCTGAACGTCCCCCGCCGGAACTGCGCCTCCGCCGAGCTCGGGGGGCGGATCTACGCACCCGGCATGGATTCGGAGTTTGCAGGGTCTTACAGATTGAGAAGAAACAGGAGGAGAAGGCATTCAATCCTGTAGTAGAAGCAGGGAGAAGATTCAGAGGCCATTTCACCATGCTGTGTAGCAGGGGTGATGGGATCGTAGAATGCCTAGTTCTTGTTTAAGAGTGTGAACTATCTTTTGAGCTGGGCGTCAGGGTGCATGGTCTGGCCCAGCTCGTTTTAGAGGCAGCTTTGTGTGCTGAGGGCAAGGCAGGGGGTCAATGAAGGATTGCAAATCCTATGCCAGGAGGGCTTGCGAGGGTCAAAGCTGTGCTGTACCAAAGGTAGGACTGGGTTTCACCTGGGTTTACTTCCACTAATAAAGGATAAGCACAAGCTGACTGGGAGCAGCTGGAGCTTCAGGGCTCATGTTGCTTCAGGGTCTGCAGTCGATGATGCGGCATGGTGCGACGAGTGGAATGATGCTTTGGGCTTGCGTAGGTTCGCTTTTTTTTGCCCAGATGCCCCACTTGGTATAATTAGGTCTTTTCTTTTGGTCTTGTATTGCATGAGCTCCTTTATTCATGGGTATCTCCATCTGTGCTACTATGCCACCAGGGCAGGACCATTACCTTTTAGGTCCAGGCAGCCTTGTCCGGCACTGCCCAAACATTCAGAACAACCCTATATCTACCCCATTATATCATAGTAGTTTCCATTTTATTTTCCATTATCCCAATATTACCCCAATACAAGAATCCTTGAGGTCTACAGATCTTCCCTAAGACAGCAAGCTCTTACCTCCTGAGCCCTCAACCGCCAGCCTGGGTACGGCTTTCAAGCCCCAACCAAGGCAATTGGTGGGTTTGATGGATCCCAGATCTTGAACCACGTCGAGGTGCCATGTGCGAAAGTCTAGACCCTGCTTCCGCTTCTTTGTATGTCTGGTCTGGTGCTGTGGATTTGGTCCTGGACTTGTGTTTGTTGTCTGTTGTTTGAGGTGTTGTGTAGAGATGGTATTCAGTTGCTACGATCTTGGGTTTCTGTGATTTCAGTGGCACAGATTTGGAAGGTTCGGCATAGGAATCCGAGAGGAGGTCTGGGGTAAAGAAGATGGCAAAAGTTAGTGTCTGAGGGTCCAACGCGCGAGGAGTTTATGCCTGACCTTGTCGTGTCGTGCACAGCTTTGATTAATCCTGGGGTCCAGCAGCATTCGAGTTGCCAGCATGGATCCAAATTGGAGCATCAAGCTGATCCAGTTAGAAGCTTGGGCCTTGGCAGCGTGGGAGTCCTCTGAAGAGCTTTAGCCATGGGATGCATCGGCAGCCGGACGACGGCGACAGCCACCACAGCCTCCACAGCCTCTACTGCCTCAACTGCCACCAGCCGCCTTTCGGACGAGGTGCAGATTCCTGCGGAGGCATCCGCTTCACAGTCTGACATTTGCTGGTCACTACGGCCATCAAAACTTCAAGTAGAGCATTCTTCTGCTGTGGTTTGTTCCTTACTGCTCGCAGTTCAGACGAGTTCAGGCGTTTGCCCTTGCTGTACAGCTTTCATACTCCCAACGCATGCCAGAAGGGTTTTGCACTCTGCCATCTCTTGGATGGGGCCTGTGAGCCCTGCGCAGGAGGTTGGCAGGATCAGGGCCGGCAACAGCATGCAGGTCTTGATTTTAAATCATGGACAGATGGAATTCATGTTTCAAACCTAGGCCTGATAAAGTTTTCAAGCTCCCCTAGCATTGGCAATTTTTTGCTAAGCCCAGCCAAGCCCAGAACGTTGCGACCATCTCCAGCTCCCACCCCCGCAAGTGAAGTGACAGGCAGAAGCTGACATGAACGCCCTGCTGGCTCGTCTGGACGACTTGGATGACTGGGTGGAAAAGATGGCTGCAGCAGGTTCAGACATGCCTCAACTTACAAATGAAGTGCAGGAGGGTCTCGGGTTTGTTCTTAGCAACACGCATCAAGTTTTCAGAAAGAGGTGTCAAGTGAACTGCTCAGACCTGGCAGCATGTTTTCTTCCTGCATGATGTGCTAGCACTCTGGCCTGCGCGTATTGTTGGAGCTCTCCGAATCTCCTTTACAATTGGGATGTGCAGAAATTTCAGAAGAAGGGTCCCGCGTTTCTGAGGCTTGAGGGGATTGTTTGCTCTGGAGTCTGTCAGGGTCCCAAAACCGAGACAGAGCTTCAACTGTTGGCCTGATACTCTTTAAGTGGGTGCTTTGCAAAAGATGACCACAATACTTCAACAGGTCCAACACGATCCTAGATGCTAAGCAAGAGGCTGAACGTGTTGGGGATTTGCGGGGTGCCTAGCAGGTAGCGCATGGCACAGGATGTTACTTAAGGCTACGCATGATAATCAGAAGTCCTGATCCGTAAGTGGGCCTTTGATTGAAGGTGGTGTCCTTTGGCATCCATTTGATATACCCTGTTATAAGGTAGTAGTTTCCAGTTTCTTTTCCATTATCCCAAGATAACCCCATGGGAATGTAATCCCATGTAACGTATGTTGCTTGTGCTGAAGAGGAGAGTCCTGTCCCTCTTCCTATGGCTCCGGCATTAGCAAGATTGCTGTTGAAGAATGGCTGTTGTTCCCACAAAAGCCCTGGTGCAGGCTTCGGGAAGCCACCTAGGATCCGCAAAACCTGGACATCTGCGGATGAGCTGCATGCAAACTTCCGCAGCTTCTGCAAATATGGGAGGCTCGACGCGGTGTCGGAGCTAGTCAGCAGCTCTTCAAAGGACTGCTGCTGTAGCCAGCATCATAGCAGGTGACTTAAGAAAAATGTAAGCAGCTGTGGATAATGGAAAAGAAAATGGAAACTATTCTATAGGGTTTAAGATTTAGGGATTTTATAGGGGTTATATAGGGTTATATTATTGGGATAATGGAGAATAAAATGGAAACTCCGGCTGTGGCTGGAAGACTGAAGGCATCATCAGACCTTGAGAGGACTTCAGGGAACGTGGTTGCCAATCTTTCTTTCCCCAGCTTGATCCTGCCTTCAGAGGCGTTTGTCTTTATCATGGCATGGAAAACATGTTGAGGGCCCCCCTGAACTGGGTTGCTGTCAAGGAACTCGAATTAAGTTACCCTGATGGGTGTATATTGTATTTAAGAGGGTTTCCCCAAGTATGTTGATCCTGCAGGACTTCTGGTGTCGCTTCGCCTCCAAACAGTTCAACGAGACCGGGCTCGTCCTGGCATCCAAGTACGGGCAGCGCCGGGGTTCATGCAGTAAGCTGTCCAGGGATCGTGCGGATTTAGGGATTTTCTGGTTAGTAATATCTGATAATATTATATCATGATATGTTATAATTACTAGAGGATGGCTTTGGCATTCAGATGCCCCTGCATGAGAGTGTATGGACCGTATGGAGAAAGGGTTCCGGCCTGGTTTCCAGGGCTTTTGAACGCAGACCCTGGGCTGCGATCTTGGGGCTCGGGAAGCCGCTTCTGCTAACTATGGTAAACTTAGTTTAAGTTCCTTAACAGCCCTAAACCCTAAACCCGAAAACCCTAAAACCCTTAACCCCAAACCCTAAACCCTAAAACCCTAAAACCCTAAACCCTAAAACCCTAAACCCTAAACCCAGTTCTTTAGAACACGTGCAAAAAACATCATCATCCAAGGCATGAAGTCGTGAGAGTCTTGGTGCCAGCGGGCTCAGAAATGCTAAGCCAAGTTGGATGTAGAGTCCATTTTGGGGTTATATTGGGGGTTTGGGGTTTAGGGTTTTAGGGTTTAGGGTTTAGGGTCATATAAGGATTAGAGGGTCTAGGGTTTAGGGTTTAGGGTTTAGGGAGTCTTGTAGCCATTGGGTTAATATTGGGGTAATATTGAGGTTATATTGGGATAATGGAAAACAAAATGGAAACTACTATAATGGGATATATAGGGGTTATATAGGGGTATATTAATATAGGGGTTAGGATTACTGGGAATGATATTAGGGTATATATTGGGGTTTAGGGGTTAGGGTTATATAGGGATAATGGAAAATCAAATGGAAAAGAAAATGGAAAATGAAACGGACACCCTAGGTCCCTTTAAAGGGGTTATAGGGTACATTTTGGGGTTATATTGGGATAAGTAGAGTCACCCTTTAAAGGGTCCAATGTTTACAGGATTACTGGGAATGAATTAGGGTATATGTTGGGGTTTAGGGGTTAGGGTTTGGGGTTTAGGGCTTTCAGTTTAGGGTTTAGGGTTTAGGGTTATATTGGGATAATGGAAAAAAGATGGAAACGACTATTCAGGGTTTAGGCTTTATTATCATAAGATCCCCGTCTACCCCATATTCTATCTACTTGAGGGGGAGTATAACTACCTGCCTTTACGCCTTTGTCTTTTGGAGTGAAGGGCTTCCCGTCAGCCAGCGCGGTCGCTTACACTCTGATAATATTTTTGTATTTTCCATTTTCCATTAGCCCTATATAACCCCTATTATGATATAGTAGTTTCCATTTTCCTATCCATTATCCCCATATAACCCCTCTAACCTTTATATAGCTCCTATATAACCCCTTATAGTCCCTGTAGTTTCCATGTTCTTTTCCATTATCCCTATATAAACCCAAATAATTATATAAACTCCAGGATCGACTACGTGGCGAACGGCGGCACAGCTCTCCAATGGGCCTGCAAATCCTACTCGCAGGACAACTACGCCAGGATGGAGCCGCGACAGGCGGCCTGGCGACTGTAGGGTCTTGGGCAGCCTCTTTTCGGTTATATAGGGGTTATAGGGGCTGTATAGGGATAATGGAACGCAAGGATGGTTATGTAGGAGTTATATATAGGGATAATGGTAATCATCAAGCTATAGTGGTAAGGGCAGGAATCACAGTATTGATCATCAGACTTGCCTCCTCCCAGCAAGAAGTTGATATGGCTTCCTATCTTCCTTGTTTGCTCAGCTTGGCATTGGGGTATGATGCCTTCAAGAGGGGTGACGTGGTCATCACGGCACAGAGGATTTACTCGGGGGCGAAAAGGGTTCAGGGACTTCTAAGTTTCGACTTCAGGATCATCGGTAAAAGACACAAAAAAGTAAGTCTCAAGTCTGGCTCACGCTCGATCTTGCAGTGCTAGCCAAGCAAGCTTCCAGATTTTGTGAACTGACGCCCTGGCTTCAAAGATTTGGGTACTGAACTTCGAAAAGATCCTCATGTCAACACCCACTTGTGCCTCACTGAACCCCAGAAACCAACCACAGCTGCCTTGGACCTTGGATTTGACAAACCACGCGCCTGATTGAAGCTCCTTGACAGGCGCGGCAAGAATTTGCTCGAGTTGTTTCAATGTCTCGGGATCAGCTGTAGATGGAGTCTAGTTACAGCAAAGCCATGATCAGTTAGCAGTTAGTAATGTCAAGGGTTTGCTGCCGAACAAAGGCTACTAACATGATCTCTGGTTGAGGCAACTCAAGAGTTGCATCACCCCTTCCCTGGATGGAATCATCGGAATTTTGTTCGGTGTCAGGTGGCCACAGTGCAGTACCTGCTTGGGGAAGGTGCCCAGATGCGCGTCCGGCGTCCAAACTCCGAGGAAATCTCATTAGTTTCAGGTTTTCGGAAAGGTGCGCAGGTTTGTCAGGGTGACCAGTCTTTTGGATCCAAGACGTTCAACCTTCCTTGTCAAAGGAAGGGCCACCTTCACATTTACCAGAATAAGATGAGTCAGACGTTCTGTTTTTTCCTTCCTACAAAACTGCACGCTGAGTGCATTTACCTCGTGACCTTCCTTGTAAACCACCCGGCAGCTGTTAAAAACTCGCCGCACAGAATCTAATTCTTGGTTCGCAGAACGATGCAGGAGTTCTATGATGCCTTGCTTATGGCAGTCACCCGCGGCAGCGTTCCCATGGTTATGCTCCTGCGAGCTGCTGGTGCCGAGGTGGTCAATCATGAAAGCTCTTCAAGATACTTTGGAGTAAAGTCATTTACGAGGGTTTGCACAGGTAACGAAAGGCATTTCCACGCGATATGGATCTTGAGAATCTCAATGCCCAGAACGTCAGAAAAAAAGTGCAACTAAATCAGAGGCGTGTGCACTTCTTTTCAACGGACGCGGCCATCCTTCGTCGCTCGAAGTGCGTAAGCTCTAGCCGTGTTCTAATCTCGGCAACTTGATTCGATGGAAACCCACTCGAAATTTATGACAGGTCGCAGGGCTCGAAACTAGACTCGTCGCGTGGACAAAATGACCACAGGTCACGGAATCTGCGGAGTCGGCTGCAAAAAAGGTGGGGTGGCGCGGTCTCGAGGGCCTTGCTCTCGGAGGAGAAGATCTCCGTGCCGTATGAGGCGCCATCCTATTGGACTCACCAGTCAGAGGATCCCATTGTGCAGCAGACTCAAGAGCCATCTTGAGCAGCTGTTTTTGCTTTCGAAGATGTATTCAAATGGTGTTCGAAGAATCCGAGGAGATTCTAAGATTCTTGATTGGGAGATGGAGAGCCCGAAATTTATCATTGCGCCCAAGGATTCTCGAGGGCTCGGACATTGAGAAGCAGCTGCATCAGGCGCTGCAGCACACCTTCAAAAGCACTCGCACACGGGACTGCTTCGCCATCCAAGCAGAACTGTTGGTGCTCAGGTCATACTCATTGCCCCCGGCAGAAAACCCACCTTGCAGTACTAAGGGCACGGGATGTCAAAAGAGAGTACCACAGGTCAGTGGAATGATAGTCACGTCCAGAACCTTCCGACCAGCTGCTGTTCAGGGCTTGGACATCTTGAGAACTCTACCTTTTTCAAATTCAAGCTCGGATGGACAACCTTCCGTAAACCGCCGAATCATCTTCATCTTAAGAAGGAGGCTCCCCTGCCAATCAAGAAATCCAGAAATCCTTAGGGCTACATCACGGTACACCCAAGACATCCGCAGGACCGCAAGGGACGAGCACCAAGAAGCCTCCGGCTCGTTCGAGCAGAGCGCATTGAGAACTCGGCAGTGTGGGTCCACAGGCTTAAACTCAGCGGCTTCCCTCCCATCATACTTGCATGTTGCACACTACCAGACTTGCATTCCTACTTTTTTATTACGATGATGACAGTCATTCATTTTTTATTGTCTACTGCTGACGCCGCCGCCTGTCTTCTTCTACTCCAACTACCAATACTGCTGCTCTAGTCTCCACCAGCAACTACACTTGCCTGAAAATGAGGCCGTAACTGGAAAGCCCTGAAATCCTAAGGGACGTAGAGACATGCCTTCGATTTAACTTCTTGAAATGTACGTAAGCTTGAGGCTTAAAAGGTGCTCTCATGAGATTTGCTTGCCGTCGGAAGCTCAAGGGAGTTTGCGGACTGCAAAGTCTTGAGGTTGCTGCTGGGGGGGTAAACGGGGGAAAGCTTTGGGATTGTTGTTCCCGTGGTGTTTCTCACAGGGCATGAGATTTTCCCTGCCTCTGCCTTGCCCCATGTTCCTGCCCTTTTGTTCTGTTTTGCATCGCAACATCCAACGCTTATGATCTGGTTCCGCTTTCGGAAACACGTAGTTGGTAGGCGGAGGGTGCCTGAAACTACTGCTGCTACTTCCCATATCTACCTCTCTTGGCGCAGCAGCAACTGCAGCAACTGCAGCATACTGCAGCATACTGCAGCATACTGCAGCTAGCTAGCTTGCTAGCAAGGAGTACATGCGGGTGGTTGTCAAAATTAGGGTCCCTTTTTGGATCCCTATTATAATACGGCACCTAATATGTATGGTACACAAAAAGGGACCATAATTTTGACAACCACCCATGTGTTTCTCATGTAACCCTCGTTCCTGGATTCATGGCACCTAGTACGGCCAGTCAACGGTCCCACCTGGCTGTCTGCGCTCCTTCTCATGCACCATGTGGTACTTTCTCAAAATTAGGGGTACCATTTTGGGGATACCCATAATAAGGATTATAGTATATTGGGGTCTATATTGGGGTCCCCCTATTTAGGGAAACTACCATGTATGCGGAGAAGCACCAATCATTGATCTTTTCTTATCCAGGCACTTGCAAAACAGAAATCTCAGCTGTGCTGCAACAAACATGCCGTGTGTAGCGCAATTTGCAAGAAGATGGCGTCGTCCTGTTTGAAGAGGGAATCTCGAAAACACCTGAAGCCTAAATTGCAAAACTAGTGGAGCACACATGTCTCTTCCTCTTACGTGGCATGAGGCCCGCTACCTCAACGCTGCTGCCACATTGGAGAAGAGGAGGCCATCTGGCTGCACCGCCATCCAGGACTCAAACCGTAAGCTTCCTGCAGAAGCGTGTCCACTTCTTGACAGCGTCCAAGGTATGCATACAGGCCGCACGATTCCTGGCGCCTCTCTGTGGACGAACGGTGTATGCACAGAGCACATGCAGAAGATTTGCCCTCCTCAACCTCCAGCTTCTGATTTTTTTTTGGAATTTTGCAGTCCTGCACTTTTGAGAGCCAGGACCTGGATGGGGATCCCCAACATGGCCACGTCCGAACCTGGGAGCCTTTGGGGGAGCTCAGCAGCCGGCTGAAAAGCCACCTAGCAGAGCTGTACCTCGGCTCCAGAGAAAATGTTGTCCATGATCGGCTGATCAGCAATATCTGAGAAAATGGTCTAAATTCCTTAAAGGAGGTTAATATAGGGCATTATATAGGGGACTACTATAGGGCTTTTTAAGGGGGATACTAGGAGTTTAGACTATAGCTCATTTGTGCTTACGAGGGTAAGAAGTGCTTGACCCGTCCTCAGCCATGTGCGTGGAAGAGCCCGCAGATGGTGAGGTACCTTTTCCATGGCACCAGTCCAAAGGGTGCCGCCTGGCCGCAGCTCCCACCTGGGATAACTAACTCCAATACAGCAGTTTTATAGAGGTGGCGAATAATTCTTCCAGATTCACGATTTGTACTACTACCACTACTACTACTACTATTATTATTATTACTATTACTATTACTATTATTAATATTATTATTGTACTATTATTCTTTTTGTTATTATTATACTTCAGCCACTGATATCTTCCTATATTGCCGCTACAGTTGCGGGGGACCTCCCGGGAGTCTCCCAGCTCCGAGGCGCGGGCCATTTCCGAACAGGGCTTCCGCCGAATCATGGCAGGCCTGAACCTGCTCCAAGAAGAAACTTTTCGGTTTTTCCCGCTTTAACGGATAAATTTGTTTGGAAAGTGGGTCTGATCTTCGGTTAGCTGCTTGGGAACCAAAGGAATGCTGGCACAGCCTTTGGGCGCGGCTGTTACTTTGCAGAGGCTTCCTCCAAATCGGACGAGTATGCACAGGCAAATGATGACGGGCACTTTGTCATGTTGCTCTGCAGAGTCGTGTCTCGGACTTGATCTAAATGGTTTTGAGATGATGGACATGTGTTACCCGCCGCAAGCCCATCCAACATCCAGGTATGTGGAGAGATGTTCCGAATTACGGACCGGGATCCATTGGCTTTGTCTGATGCCCTGCACAGTGGTAAGTATGACTCTGTGCTAGCTGACCGCGAGGCATCTGTTGGCACTTATCGTGAGTTCGTAGTCTTTGATGAGGAGTGTGTTTATCCAGAATACCTGATACTCTATGATAGAGAGTTTTGAGAGGGCAGTTCTGGACTTCCGAGCCCCTTGTGTGGGTGGGTGATCCATATTATGAAGTGTGAACCGTTAACCACAAAGATCTTCACCCCAAAGCCCAAACATAGGAAGTCCCACAGCCCAGTATCTCAAAAAACGCAGCTCCTGCGCAGGGGACCCCCAAGAAGGGGGACCCAGCCCCAAAGATGGGCGCCTGCGACAAGAATGTTTCCCTGAGCAGAGTGATTGCTTGTGGTTTGGGGTGTGGCAACTTACAATCCTAAACCCTAAACCCTAAATAGATTCTGGAGGCCCTCTAGGCTTAGGCCAGGAACACAATGCAAAAAAGCATCCTGAAGAGAAGCTGAACCCTGACAGCTGGGATCTGGTGTTGGTACCAATCTTGTGATTTTACTATGTTGTCTCAAACACGAGTCACATCTAGCACATGCGTGTATATATATATATAATTTGATATAGATTACAATGTCCATATAAATAGATTTTTATACTTCTGTAAGTACTTCGCTGCCCGAGGGGAGGACGCGTTTCTTCTCTGCATGGGTACCCAAGGGCCGAAACAACAAGACCTGAAGCCCTAAACCTCTGCTCCGCTTGGAAATGCAAAGCCTAGTTTCAAGGCTGGACCCTGCCATCCTGAACTGACATGCCTCAAGCTGTCTACCTCACGGGCAACTTATCGTTATGCTAGTAGTACTAATGCTTCTCCTATTCATACTCCTTGCCACTACTACTATTCCCACCTCACCGCTACCACTACTACTGCTACTGCTACCGCCACAGCTACTGCTGCTGCTGCTGCTGCTCATCTGCCACTGATGAATAGGGATGCTGATGCTGATGATGTACTTGGTTTCAATTGACCGAAGCGTGACTTTACAGCTGTTCTGGCTATCAGTCTATTCACCGGAGGCCTTCGATCCCCGCATGAAGAGTTGGATGCCCCTGGAACCAATGGTGGTCTCCCGGCCGCAGCAGGCAGTATTTTGACTTCAGGACAATCAGATGGTTCTCAACGAAGGACTTGTTGATGGCTCTTGATAAGCAGGATTTTGGTATTCCGGTTTGTAGATAGTGACTTTTCCGACTGTTGAGGTCAGATCTTGGCGGGGAGAAGCTGCAACTTTCTAACCTTGACACTCCCAATCTCAAACCTGAGCCACTTTCTTGAGGCCTTCTGAAGCTGAAGGATCCCTCTGTCATTTTCGTACTCCCCTATATAAGACCTTGAAGGAGTTTGGACTGTAGCTCAAATGCTCCGGAAGCTTCTGAAACCTCGGATCCAAGATGCCCCGCTCCTCGGCCTCCGCCGCGGCCGTGGGCGGCCAGCTTTGGGCCAGGGCCTCAAAGCACCGGCGACTCCAAGTAATGATGGAACCGCGAGTACTAACATTAAACGAAGCGCATTGAAGAAATGGGGCTAGCAGCTGACGGCTCAAGGTTCCGTGTTTCCAAAGCGCTAAGCAGCCAAGCACAACTTGCTCTCATGGCATCCTCATGATAGCCTGGCAGTTTTGCGGGTCCAGTGCTTGGCAAGCGGCCTGCAGGCCCTGAGTCAAAGATTACAACGGCACACTTTAGGCAACTCTTCCTCTGCTGGTCTCTTGCCTTTTCTTAGGTCTTGGGCGGAACTAGCGGAGCGCGCCAGCGCACCGTGGAGAGGCAGGGTAGCATACTGACTGGAGAGTCGTGAACCATGGGGTCTTTCCGCACCATTGCCCATCGAAAAAAAGCAGGGGCTAGGCTTGCAAAGAGTTGCCGACGTCTACTCCCCGGATAGGATGGGAACATGTGAGTTGATGTTGTTTGTTTGACTGTCTTGTTCTTGACGGATTTTGGCCCTTGAATTTTAAACGCGAGAGATGGCTACTTGTAGAAGTTCAGCAGGATGGAAAGGGCCACTGGCGGAAGCTCATCAGAACGAACCTGCGCTGTTCAACAGTTTTGGGTTTGGAGTCCACTGGGTTCCACAGTCCGAATCCTTGGTCAAACCACAGAAGCTTCGTTTGTCACAGAATCCCTGGCATGGATTCATTTCCTCCGGCTTCTCAATCCAATCCATTCAGCTGCAATTCCAGGTTCTTGGAGACGAACCCTATAAAACCTTCTAGAATCCTATATAACCCCTCATAACCCATAGAACCCCTATAGAACCCTAGAAGATTCATCAGATCCAGCCATGGCAAACTCCTTTGAGCTCTTGTGGTCACCATTGGGTTGGATAATAGAAAATGGAAACTACTATAGTATACTGGGGTGATTTTGGGATAACGGACAAGAAAAAGAAAACTACAGGGATTATATAGGGGTTATATAGGGTCTATATTATGGGTTCTATTGGGATAACGGAAAAGAAAATAGAAACTACTATACTATAATGGCGTGTATATTGGGGCTGTATGCTACTACCTAGAGCTACCCTTTTATGTTGGCAAGGTACGACCCTCGGGCAGGGAAGTGGGAATCAGTGCGCCATGGCCTCAGAGGATTAGGGTCCCTATTGATGAATCTTTATACGGTTATATATAGAGCTATAAAGGGTTACGTAGGATCATAGAGGCTTATATAGGGTTACGTAGCATTATAGAGGGTTATAGAGGGTTATAAAAGGTTACATTGGGGTTATGTAATGTTATATAGCATGATAGAAGGCTATGGCTTTATAGGGTTTCCTCCCAGAAAAGTAAGATCCTCCAAAGCCGCCAGCAGGGAGCTCTGGAGCTCGTCGTGTTGCCGAGCCATTGGGCTTTTGTTTCGGGTTTTCTTGGTTTAGGGTTCAGGGATTTTCTCGGGACGTGGCTTTCAGTTAAGGGTTTAGAGTTTGCAAAGCACCGGTTCCCTGTCGTCCAGTGTGCGCCCTTTGATATAGTCCAGTGCACCCCCCCCCCCCGGCCCCAAACTATAGCCTAAGCCCTAAGAGCCTGAACCCTACCTCCTAAAGCTTGAACCCCAAGACCCTAAACCTTAGCACCCAGGACCGCAAACCACGCACCCCTGAGAGACTTTTGACCCACACCCTGAACCCTCAGAGTCAAATTCCTAATCCCTAAACCCTGAACCCTATCTTCCAAATCGTAATCCCAAATTCCTAACCTCTAAACCGTCACTGCTTAAACCCTAAAGCGTAAACCCCAGCTCGAAAACCCTGACCCTAATTCCGAAAGCCAGAACCACCTACCCAAACCCTAAACACTTCAAAGCCTAAACCTGGACTCCCAACTCTAAAAGCCCCAAGCCCTGAGACCTTAAACGCCAAGTCTTACACTCTAAGCTCTAAGACCTTACACGCGGAGGCCCCAAACCCTACAACCCTAAACCCTAAACCGCTTCCCCCCTCAGCCCTGTAACTCAACAGCAGATAACCAATTTACAGGATGAATGAACGCGCATTGGACGCAGAAATGAACATGCGCACTGAACAGGCAACTGGATGAGCGCTAAACACCCCTGCCCTTGATGGAGGTCTTCCTCGAAGCGTGTTACGTTCGTAGACTTGTGGCACTTCCTCAAAAGGGACCCGCCTAGTGCAAGCAGTCCTGTCGCTGAAAGGCCACAGGCCACATTGCACCCCTTAAAAAGTAGCGTGTGTGACTACATCAAGAGCATCAACTCAAAGCCAGAGCCTACTCAGTGTACTCTGAGGTGCGGATATGATTGAGGCCGGGGAAGGGACAAGCTCCTTGGGTTTTAAACTTCTGGTTGAGCTCTTAGGCAATCCAGCGCTTCATGTAGGACAGTTCAGGGTCCATGCTAGGATCTAGCACATCTTATTTGTGAAGCCCATGCCCTCATGACCAACGCCTGAACCAAGTTGGAGATGGTGTGAAAGTTGACAGGACCCTCCCCAAAGCTGTTTTGAAAAGAACAAGATGAACAAAGAGATGCGAAGCTGTAGGCCATGCCTTGAATGAGGTTGGCTTACATGACTTTGATTCTGCGAAATCTGTACCTGCCTTATGTCCAGCCATGGATCCTAGGTCAAAAAGTAGAGCTCTGAATCTTTGTTGGATTTTTTTTGGCGACCGTTTTGCAGGTCATCTTGGCTCAAGACTGCGTCTGATAAGTTCTCGTTTTGAGGGTTTAGGGTTTAGGGCTAGAGTGTAGGATTGTCTCCAAAAAACATTGTCCTTCAGCTCACATTGGCCCTCTCATCTGCAAAAGACAGGCCCGTGCGTTAAACTCTTGACGCAAACCACAGCAAGAAGTGAGCCCAACGTGCTCATGGAGGGCTACCGAGTTCCGGGAGCCCCTTGGAAGCAAATGTGGAAGCTAAGAGTGCTCTTTTTTCGGGGCATGAGTGAGAGCCCTGAATTCCAAGACTTTCAGAGGCCATCTCACAAGCCATTGCTTGGAACAATCGTCCAGTTAGCCACATGAATTTAGGATCTCATACTTGGCCAGACACCACCGCTGGCACGTCGGTCGAAACTGCATGAAAGCATTCCCATCCGTGCAATCCTCGTCAACTCCTTTGAGTATGTCAGTCCTGAGAAATTTGTTTTCAAACAATGGCGGCACCAAGATGTATCCAGAAAGCCTGTGGAACTTGTATATGAGACGCCTAAAGAGATACCCCTGCATTTTCAAAACTCCCGCAAATGGCTGCATGCAACTGGAGCACGTGCAATCCGACGACAGCTCTATGCCAGTCTACATGCCCTGTATACACTCCTGTACCAGTGGGATTCGGGCTAAGGTTTCAGGATTTAGGGTAAGATTGTCGACCCCAAATTCCACGCCTCCAGGTTAAGCCTGCATGTGGAACCTTACCTGAGTAGTATTTTACTTGGGGTTACCATGGCACCCAATGTAGAGTAGGATTGTATCCTCCTCGTGGGTATAGTATTATTGAACCTTACCTGGAACCTTGAAACTACTGGTCACTACTATGGAGTGGAGGAATGGATCCCTGCAGTAAGCTCCATACGACCCCCTCGCTACAGTATCTCCCACATTCTTTTCCATCCCCTAGGCCCCAAACCTGGGAATAATAGATTCCATAC